CCATATCTGGTGCTCTTCGCTACTCCACTGCTCTCTTTGATCGGTCGACCATTGACCGCCATATCGGGTACCTGCATGCTGTACTGCAGGCCATGGTCGACAGCACGGCACAGAACGTCATGGAGATTGATCTTCTCGGTTCGCAAGAGAAGGAGCTCTTGCTGCAGACATGGAACGCGACCAGCACGAACTATCCCGATCAAGCTTGCATACACCAGCTGTTCGAGAGCCAGGTCAAGCAGACACCAGGTGCCATTGCCCTCGTGCACAAGGACGGGTCACTGTCCTACTGCGAGCTGAATGTACGTGCCAATCGACTCGCTCGCCGACTCATCGATCTGGGAGTCGGACCCGGCAGCTTTGTTGCTACAGTGCTGAGTCGTTCATTCGATCTGGTGACGGCTCAGCTGGCGATCCTCAAGGCTGGAGCTGCGTATGTCCCAATCGATCCAAAGGCCCCGGTGGAGCGCCAGGTGTATATTGCATCTGATTCTGCTGCATGTCTGCTGATCGCTCATGAGGATTCGGACATCCCTGCTGCACTGCAGACCCCATTGCTGCGCTTGCCTGCAAAAAGTGCAGTTGTCACAGATGGGCCAAGTAAGTACCGACTGCAGATGAGTGCGAGAGCTCGTGTAGACTATTACAATGCTGACATGAATCTGACCCATCCATTTGTTTTCTTCCCCTGCCTCTTCTTAATTTATTAGACGCACTCGATATCAACTGGAAGTCTTCGAGTCTGGATGTTGCATATGTAATGTATACCTCTGGGTCGACAGGCTTGCCCAAGGGAGTGCTTGTGCCACACCATGGTATCTCTCGCTTGGTCGTCAACAGCGGGTATGTCGATATCGGACCTGAAGATCGTGTCGCTTTCGCCGCCAATCCCGCTTTCGATGCCAGCACCTTCGAGCTCTGGTCGCCTTTGCTGAACGGTGGCTGCAGTGTTATCATTGACGCCGATACCTTCACAGACCCCCAGCGCCTTGCTGAGGCTCTGGACCGCCACCAGGTCACCGCGATGTGGCTGACCATGGCTCTGTTCAACCAGTACGTGCTGACAATCGGCTCGGAACTGTCCAAGCTACGGTACCTTCTTTGTGGAGGCGAGCAAGGCAATCTGGAGTCGTTTGCTGCACTCCTGCAACATGGCGGACGTGTCCGCCTCATCAATGGCTACGGACCCACAGAGACCACTACATTCGCCACCACATACGAGGCAACAGCAGGCGCAATCGAGCGGCTGGAGAAGCTCCCGATTGGGCGACCCATTGGCAACACACAGGTCTATGTGCTGGACAAGCGCGGTCAGCCTGTGCCGCTGGGAGTGGTTGGAGAGCTGCACATCGGCGGAGCAGGTGTTGCGAACGGCTACCTCAACCGACCGGAGCTCACAGCCGAGCGGTTCCTCCCTGACCCCTTCAGCCAGCACAAGGGTGCTAGTATGTACAGGACTGGAGACCTTGTTCGGTATCTCCCCGACGGCAACTTGGTCTTTATGGGTCGCAATGATGACCAGATCAAGATCCGAGGCTTTCGCATCGAGCTGGCTGAGATCGAGGCTCGCCTAGTTGAGAACCCAATGGTCAGGCAGGTAGCTGTGGTTGCGCTCGGCAACGATAGTGACAAGAGGCTGGTGGCCTATGTGGTTGCAAATCCCTGTGAGCGACTGGCCCATACGCTGCGCGCTCACCTGGAAGGCTGCCTCCCTGAATACATGATGCCGGCTGCGTTTGTGCGTCTGGACACTCTGCCGATCACCAACAACGGCAAGGTAGACCGCCGCGCGCTTCCTGAGCCTGATAACGACGCACTCGTGACTCAGGACTACGAGGCACCTCTGGGAGAGACCGAGACCGCAGTGGCTGGTATATGGTCCGAGTTGCTCAAGGTCGGCAGGATCGGCCGGCACGACAATTTCTTCATGCTTGGCGGACATTCTCTGCTCGTTGTCCAAATGATCGAGCAGCTGCGACGTATTGGGCTCACTGCCTCGGTCCGCGTCCTCTTCGAGACGCCTACGCTGGCTGCATTGTGCCAATCGCTCACCAAGCACCGAGCACTGGTGGCACCGCCGAACCTCATCAAGCCTGATACTACCAGGATCACACCGGAGCTGCTGCCACTGATTGATCTTACTCAAGATGAGATCGACGCTGTCGTGGAGCAAATACCTGGAGGAGTCGCGAATGTCCAAGACATCTATGCGTTGTCGCCTTTGCAGGATGGTATGCTCTTTCATCATATGCTGGCCACCAAGGGTGATACATACCTTATCACTGTCTGCATGGCCTTCGAGAATAAGGACTTGCTCGTTCGCTACATGGACGCAGTCCAGAAAGTCGTCAATCGCCATGACATTCTTCGCACGGCCATTGTCTGGAAGAGTGTATCTACACCAGCACAGGTTATCCTGCGCCAGGCTCCGCTTTCTGTCACCGAGATCTTCCTAGATCCAGCCAACGGTTCTATTGCCAAACAAATGCTGCGCTATGTTGACCCTCGTGAACATCATATTGACCTGACGCAAGCTCCATTGACGCGGTTTGTCATTGCGCAAGATGCGGACGGCCGGTGGATAGTAGCACAATTGCTGCACCACCTTATCGGTGACCACTCTACGCTGGAAGAAATGCATACCGAGATTTATGCATTCCTCGCGGGACGAGGCGGCGCTCTGCCTTCACCACAGCCATTCCGCAACCTTATCACACAGGTTCGCTTTGGACTTGGTGTTGAGGCGCACGAACGCTTCTTCACAGAGATGCTAAACGATATCGACACGCCCACTTTGCCGTATGGTTTGTCTAATGTTCACCGCGATGGCCTTCATGTCTCCAGCAGGCATTGTGAGTTGCCACAAGGCCTGAATGACAGTCTCCGCGCGCACTCAAAGCGCTTAGGAGTGAGTCTCGCCAGTTTGTGTCATCTTGCGTGGGCACAAGTGCTCGCTAATTTGAGCGGACAGCATCGCGTGGTTTTTGGAACAGTTCTTTTTGGACGTATGCAAGGTGGATCTGGATCAGATCGTGCGATGGGGCTCTTCATCAACACGTTGCCCTTTAGAGTAGATGTGGAAGATTCAAGCGTCCTGGAAAGCGTACGCAAGACCCAGAACGGCTTGGCGGCGCTTCTTGAACACGAGCACGCCTCCTTGGCGCTGGCACAGCGTTGCAGCAGCGTTCCTTCTGGTGTACCACTCTTCAGCACAATTTTGAACTACCGACATCATTCCACGCTATTGGAAGACGGCGTAACCATTTCTGGTATTGAATTTCTCGAAGCTCAGGAGCGAACCAACTACCCATTCACTCTTTCTGTGGAAGACGGGGGCACAACACTTGGGCTTACAGCTCAGGTTGTGCAGCCATTTGACCCTGCTCATATCTGTTCTTATATGCGCCAAGCACTGTTAAGCCTATCCAACGCATTGGATCGCACACCCGACATTCCGGTTCAACGACTGGACGTCTTACCGATTGAGGAGCGCGAATTGACTGTTCGGTCATGGAATGCTACTGCACGATCTTTCCCAGATCATGTTTGCGTTCAGGAGCTTTTTGAAAGTCAGGCTCAGCAGTCGCCAGAGGCTATCGCTCTCGTTTTTGACGGCAAAACACTCACTTATCGGGAGTTGAATGCCCGTGCCAACAGCCTCGCCCGCCAGCTCGTGGAACTGGGCGCCAAACCTGGTGACTTCATTGCAACCATGCTCAGACGCTCATTTGAGCTGATCGCCGCCCAACTCGCGATCCTCAAGATCGGAGCGGCTTATGTCCCGATTGATCCAAAGGCCCCACTAGAGCGTCAAATATTTATTGCAACTGACTCTGCTGCGCGCGTGTTGATTACGCATGTTGACACGAACATTCCTACAATACTTCGGACCCCACTGCTCCGTTTGTCCGTAGATGATACTACTGAAAGCGATGGATGGAGTAAGTTCAAGTAGAATAAGCTTTCTATCCTATATTGGCCCTGCTTATAGGTACTGATTTTTTATTTTATTTTATTTTTAAGGCGCCTCGAACCTCAACTGGGTGTTCTCTAGTTTTGATACCGCATATGTGATGTACACCTCTGGGTCGACAGGCTTGCCCAAGGGAGTGCTTGTGCCACACCGTGGTATCTCTCGCTTGGTCGTCAACAGCGGGTATGTCGATATCGGACCTGAAGATCGTGTCGCTTTCGCCGCCAATCCCGCTTTCGATGCCAGCACCTTCGAGCTCTGGTCGCCTTTGCTGAACGGTGGCTGCAGTGTTATCATTGACGCCGATACCTTCACAGACCCCCAGCGCCTTGCTGAGGCTCTGGACCGCCACCAGGTCACCGCGATGTGGCTGACCATGGCTCTGTTCAACCAGTACGTGCTGACAATCGGCTCGGAACTGTCCAAGCTACGGTACCTTCTTTGTGGAGGCGAGCAAGGCAATCTGGAGTCGTTTGCTGCACTCCTGCAACATGGCGGACGTGTCCGCCTCATCAATGGCTACGGACCCACAGAGACCACTACATTCGCCACCACATACGAGGCAACAGCAGGCGCAATCGAGCGGCTGGAGAAGCTCCCGATTGGGCGACCCATTGGCAACACACAGGTCTATGTGCTGGACAAGCGCGGTCAGCCTGTGCCGCTGGGAGTGGTTGGAGAGCTGCACATCGGCGGAGCAGGTGTTGCGAACGGCTACCTCAACCGACCGGAGCTCACAGCCGAGCGGTTCCTCCCTGACCCCTTCAGCCAGCACAAGGGTGCTAGTATGTACAGGACTGGAGACCTTGTTCGGTATCTCCCCGACGGCAACTTGGTCTTTATGGGTCGCAATGATGACCAGATCAAGATCCGAGGCTTTCGCATCGAGCTGGCTGAGATCGAGGCCAGGCTTGTCGAGCACTCGCTTGTGCGGGAGGCTACGGTGCTTGCACTCGACGACGACAGCAACAAACGGCTGGTGGCCTATGTGGTTGCCGATCCCTGTGAGCGACTGGCCCACATGCTGCGCGCTCATCTCGCAGCCAGCCTCCCCGAGTACACGATCCCCGCTGCATTCATCCGCTTGGACACTCTGCCGATCACCAACAACGGTAAGGTCGACCACCGAGCGCTCCCAGTGCCAGACAGTGAAGCCTTCGTCAGTCGCGACTACGAGACTCCGCAAGGCGAGATCGAGACTGCACTGGCAGCCATCTGGGCCGAGCTCCTCAAGATCGATCGAGTTGGACGCCACGACAACTTCTTCCTGCTCGGAGGGCATTCACTACTTGCTGTTCGACTGGTCAATTATATCCGATATAGTTTGGATCATGATCTGAAGCTTCATACACTGTATGAAGCGCCCACTATCTCAGAATTGACACGAATGATACTCGAGAAGGACAAACAGGGAGATGACGATTACGGTATTTTGCTGCCTCTCAAGCTAAAGGGCAGTCGCCCTCCGCTGTTCTGTGTCCATGCTGTCTTCGGGCTTAGCTTAAGCTTTATTGGTCTATCCAAGCATTTGGACCCTGATCAGCCTATTTATGGACTGCAGGCACGCGGTCTCGATGGTCATGAGCAACTGCCGGAAACGATTGAGGACATGGCTCAGGATTACGTTGACCAAATCCGCCGTGTCCAGCCTCATGGACCATATCATTTACTAGGTTGGTCGTTTGGCGGTAGTGTCGCTCATAGCATGGCGACGCAACTTGAGAGACAAGGCGAAGAGGTCGCGTTACTTGCTTTAATGGATTCCACAGTTGACTACTCCATGCTTCCAGACCAAATCGATCCTACTCAGGATGAAGCCCTGCTCGAGCATCTCGCTCGATCTGGCGACAAAGATACAGCAGAGGAAGGCAGGGCGTTATGGGAAAGGGCGCGATCAGTGATCAGGAATAATTACCGACTCGCAAAAAAGTTCTCGCCGGATATCTACAGCGGCGACTTATTGTATTTTAGCGCAGCAGCCCGGTCAGATCCGTTTACGATAAGAGCAGACCCGGAAGGATGGAGGTCCTTTGCGCTTGGCAACCTCATGATCCACGAGGTCGAGTGTACGCACTTGGAGATGGATATGCCCGAACCAATGGCTATGATCGGATGCGTGCTGGCATCGAGTCTTGAGGAGTTGCGACATTAAACTGATCTTGACATATTTTTTCATTTAAATAGCTGCTAATTTTCACAATAAAAACTCTGCAAAAACTCGAAAATAGATTTATTGGGTTGTGGTCTTGTTGGACTTTATGTATTCAGCATACGCTATGCTGCAAGGTGAACAGCATAGGAGCAACAGCCCCAATGTTATCTTTGTTTGGTGGACCAAAATCAAAGTCGCCTTCCTTATTCCTGTAACAACTTGAAGAGTATAAAGTCACGTGCACCAGGGACAAGTTCCGCGACTTTAGCACATATTCGATTGTGGATCTTTACACCACCTTCTGATCTCCTCAATTCTTTTGATACAGGCTATCCTGAGCTCTGGCACAGATCACGGTGCCGAAATACACGTTGATGAACTTTTCCCTGGTAACCACCATAGGTTGCTGCTGCAACTACTTGCATATTGGCGATGAATAAGAACAAGGCAGCGATCGCGAGCTTGTTGAAACCCGTGGTGGAAGTGGACTGGATGTGCCCATGTCATTATCCTACAAGCCAACCTCCCCCCTCCCCCTTCCCATCGATCCTATTAACACTCATTTTTACCCATCTATGCAGTTCAAAGGATATGAGCAGAGGTGAGACCAGTAACTGGGTCCCTTTACATCGACACTTTAATCGAATTGTGTACCTTCTAGTAAATTTCTTCAAAGGGGTGCTCCTCCTGCTCCTACTCCTGTTCCTGTTCTTGTTCCGTTTGGTCCTGAATCCACCGAGTCAAGCTGGGAGACCCTTGATGATACCATGTTCATTCCTTCCCTCCCATAATCGGAGTACAAAGGCCAAGGATTATGTAAAACCGAGTGCTGCAAGTTGGAAGGAAAAAAAATTCGTTTTTCTGTGTACCGCGGCACGACCCTCTGCATGCCGGAGTTCTGCTGCCACTCGACGTGTTTCGTCGGTCGCCCTTTCTTATCTTTGTGAGTACACTCTATAGGACCAAATGCCGTTCTACCGCTTTCTTACCTTGTCGATAGTACAGCAAAAAAAAAAAAAAAAACTCTTCCACCCCTCCTCCTCCTCCCCCAACATACACATGGTGCCATAAAATCTCCATTGTAGTCTTCGTATTCCATAACATATAGCATTGGCGATTGTGAGTACAGCATCCAAGTGGGAGTTAAAAATGAGGCACCGCGTGCTGTTCAAGTATTCTGCATTGGTTTTTAAGCTCAATCTGCAATTTCTTCCTGCTCACCCCAGCAAAGAAGTGAACAAGGTTTCATTGACCATGATTCGCGTTGTTTATTGCAGTATGTCGTATGTGTAGTTCAAATAAATACCTTCCGGTATCTCTATCTATTGACGCCGAGGGCATATAAAATCCTGGCTCCAATCCTCGCTACCGACACAATTTCTGCATACAAACAGTCCAGCGGGATCGACTTTGTCCTTAATGACCTTGAGACGAGCATAATTCGATCCAAAGAAATTCTTTTGCCAGTTGGGCTCGTTTGCGTCGGCCTCATTGAAGTATGCACCCGACCCTGGAGTAATATCTCGCAAACGCTGGGTTGCCTCTGTCAGTTTGCGGGCCACGAGCTTTTGTTCCGCCAGGGGAGTCGTGTTCTCCCATCCTACCCCCACTGCAATATGTATCAGGGCCTTGCGCCACGCTGGGAGTACAGAGGTTTCAGCAGAGGTACCCTTAGTGACCTGTCCCCCAGCAACCAAATGGGTAATAAGCACACCGAGGGGGTTGCCATAATTCAAGAGATCGCCTTGGATGTTGATAAGTGCGTCTGTGAGCTGACTGATGCCTTTGGAGGACTCGAAGTTGCGACGAGGGATAAGACGCGAGCCGAGAAGTGTGTTGGTTCCAGCATTGGTGTCGTTCGAGGTAGCGGCGGAGCCCGCTTGGAAACATGACCAGAAGGTGGGGAAACTGTAGACGGTGCCGTTGATTTTCACATTACCGAGGGATTCAACATATTTAAGGAACGGCGACAAGCTGTTCTCGGCAGTCGTGATGTTGGCGTCTGGCAGGTAGTAAGACACGAGCATGACGTCGCGCAGGAAATAGGAGTATCCTGACCATCCAGTCTCGGACCACTCGACCTGATGAGAGAGGAATCGGCTAAGGACCTTGCGAGCGGTCTCTGTTCCGTTGAAAAGTAGCTGGTACGTTGCCTGGTTAATGTTTTTGAACGGAGAATGGGTCTTGTAGACAGCTTCGACAACCACACCAAAAGTTGCACCTCCGCCTCCACGGAGTGCCCAGAAGAGATCCTTATTTTGATAGACGTTGGCAACTTTAAGGTCTCCATCAGCAGTGACGACCTTGTACTGAAGAACATTATCGACGCAGAGACCATGACGAGGCGATATAGGGCTGTGTCCTCCGCCCTGGCAGAAACCACCGCTGGCTCCCACTGTTCCCTCAGCACCACCAACGACAATAACGTTGTGTTCGTCTGCGGCTTTGTAGACATCCTTCCACAGAACTCCTGAACCAAGGATGACGGCACCATTGCTGCTGGTTCCATTTGCAGCTCCGTCTGGCACAAAATTGTCGTCAAAGGCGATGCTCTTCATATAGTAAACCCAGAGGTTGAGGGACGATGCTCCGATACTGCGCCCGAGATAGTCGTGCCCAGTGTTCTTGATGACAAGACGGATATTGTGTTTGACGGCAAACCGAACCGTATTCTGGATGTCCTCAATACTAGTGGCGTTGACGGTGTACAAGGGAACAGCCCCCTGGTCACAGGGAGCGGTCTGATTGAAACCGAGACAGGCCTTGCCATCAAGGACCTCCCAGTTGGTCTGCTGTACGGCGCCAGGCTGGCGCTGTCTCCAGTAGTCGAAGTAATAGCCCTTTTGGATCTCCTGACATGTGGCGCTGTCGAAATGAGGATCGTGACAAGCGTAGGCAGCCGGCTTGGTGGCGATCAGTCGGCCACCAACGGCTTGGTCAAGTGTTGACCAGGTGGATTCGTTTGGCCAGCATGGCTGGAAGGGCAAACACCGACAATGGCAGGATACAGGAGTGGTGGCTTGAGGTGCTGCAGTGGCCGTGCTGCTCAGGGCCGCGGCGAGCAGTGTAGTAAGGAGTGCAAGCGACTGTACTGCTGTGGAGTACATGTACATATGGTGGTGTGTGTAAGTAATGTCGACGTATGACAAGACATGGTCTGTGTGTTGGAATGGTCTTTTTATACTGCAAGAATCTGGAGTAGTCACGACAGCTCACGTTGGCTGTGGTCCATCCATAGATCGTGAAAGTAGGGCGGCGGCGCTAAACCTGAAATATTTGTCGACTTTCGGCTCCTTCAGCCAACATGCAATTGACGGCCTTCGCCAATGCTCTAGAAGAGAATAAGGCTTCTTGGCGAGGGCTATTTCAGCAAAGCTTGCAGAATCACCGGACTCACTTTTCACCTTCTTGGCAAACATGGTACATGTAGTACACGGATATCTATCCACAAATATGTCGTTCGGGTTCAAGGGCAGATTTAGTCCTCCTGTTTTGCTTGACCGAATGCCTCTGTACAAACTATTCTGGAAGGGGTTTCACGTACAGGTACGTGAGACTGTATACTTGGACGCCGTGTGCCCGAGCAATATTTTGACATCTACCTCGCGGCGCTCACATTCGTTTCTACCCTACTCGTCGCAAAAGAATGCTGATGGCATACATCGTGAGCATACTTATGCTGTGTATGCATAACACGTATGGACTATGGAATTTGAGATACGACATGAGATGCAGTAGTACTGGTCGCATAACTGGCACAGAGCGTTATCAATGCAACCATTGCAGCATCCCGATTGTTACACTTGGTAGCCAGGCATCTACTAAAGGTCGTGATTTGGTACAGCCCGCAGAAGGCGGTGGGTGACACAACATATCGATTGCAGTCGTGACACTGAGGGACGCTGAACCTTCACTTCAACGACATCACATCAATGGGGTGGTCAGGACATGGCCATCGACGGTATGACGATCAGGCAGGGTGATTCATTAACGGTTACACATCGATCGTTCTCCAGCATGGTGGTAGAACCTATGCAATCGTGAGCCTCGTTATCTCAGGCCGTTACAGCGCTGATGATATCGTGACTACACTCACCCATAGTGCTGAGACCGGACAGGCAGTGGTTACCGAACGCTCCTACAACACTCTTGAAGGGGTCGCCACAAAGTCGTTGGACTGTGCATTGTCTTTGATATACAACAGTGAGGGAGATTTGAACAACATTGGCTTTGGATCCTTTTCTCATTAAGTCTTGGGAATTCAAATAAACGAGCGTGTCTTTGATCAGGGAGCATTGCTTCCAGAAATGAAGTGTTGAGGGGCACTTGATTTTATGCAGACTATGGGGTGATACAAAAGGTAGAAAAAGGTGGTTATGATGATTGGTCGTGTGTTCAGTTGCATGGCAAGAACGCAAAAACGCAAAGCGACTCAGCCCACCTTCTCAGCCATGCAACGACCCTTATTTTTGGCTGATGGATTGGGTGCGCGTGAGTGTGTGTCAGAGGGCGGAATGGTGCGTCCAAAGCACGCTTGTACGAATATGGCAGGTGGGTGCCGCTTGAGAGCCCTTCCTGGGTTGGATTGGATGTACATGTTCGTGTACGCTGAAAGGGTGGTCTCATGACACTGCAATGGTGCGTCATTACTGTTGTTTCTTCTGTGCCTGGATGGTGCTCTCCTGTCCACCCATAGATCGGTGCCAAGAATCGGTCCCCAGGGCGCGCCCTTCCCCGGGGACTCTCGTTGGTCCCCCCATCTTCTTCTGCTGCTGTGTTTCCAAAAAAAAAAAAAAAAAAAAAGAGTCATACACGACAGGTGTGACCAGCAGGGTACTGTCTGGTTCCCTGGTGCTATGCTGCAGTGCCCCAGCAGCAGCGGTCTCTTCTTCACCACCGCACAGACGAGCGAAAGATAACAAAGGCGCACACGGACTGACTGCAGCACATTTTCCTTTTTCTTCCTGTTCCTTCTTCTCGTCGCTCCATCGCCCCTCATTCTCTAAACCACTCCTCCATTCGGCCTTTCTTGTCCTCCCTTTCTTCTTTCCCTCCTTCCTCCCCTCTTGCCACTATCTGTTTCCGTCAACCACCTACTGTGCTCCTAGCACCTGACTCTCCCTCCTACTCTTCATTCCACCACAATCGAGTGCAATGTCTCATGCCAGAGCTGCGAATGTCACTGACGACCTCGAGCACCTCGAACTGACACAGGAAGTATCTGCTGCCCAAGCAGAGGACTCTCAAAACGAAGGTGACCAGCCCTCCTCGTCGCGGCCCCCTCTCAGCTCGTTTAAGGATCCACGCCGGGTCTCAATCAACTCTCTAAGCTCCAATGCGTCCTCCTCCACCATCAAGTATCAGCCACAGCAAGACCCCTCCTATTCTGGCTCAGGGACCACTGGATCAACAACACCAAGACGACCCAAACCATCCTATCGCCATTCCGCCTCTTTGCTCAACCCAGATAACACCACGCCTTCTGGAAGTCGTCGTCGAAGACCCCCACCCGGAAAGAGACCCGAATCAAGTCGCTCGTCTATCCGACAGCGCAATCAATCCTCAGGCGACGACGACGACGACGACGCGGAAGAAGAACAGGAGGAGGCAGACGATTACTTCGGGGATGCGCGGTCTCACCACAGTCGGATGCGACGAGCCCACTCTCGTAGGTCCACTCGCCCCTCACCCTCGAGGGACTATGATGATCGCTCTCTGGACGGTCGTGAACATCATGGACGCCGTTCTGACGGAGACGTGGGCGAATACGAAGACGAGGGCCACGGAAGCGATAACGAACCATTGACACTCAAGGATAGACAAGAGGTACGGTTCAATTATCCAGTTCCAAACGTCGCTTGTGGTTGTTGTGTCTGCGCACTGGTTATATTGCCGCCCTCTCTTCCCTGAGCATTTGGGGTGTTTGTGATCACGTTTGATTTTGGAAATCCTATCGCTGAAGGCGATAACAACCACGAGGGTCATTGAGAAGGTGCTTTGGGTGATACGATGACCATGGATATGGGTTCTGGTAGTCGGCAGGCACCACAAAATCTTACTGTCGCCTGTTTCTGACGCGCGCTCTTTTTTTTTCTTTGTCCGACCGACCCATAGACTCTCAATCAAACACATCCGTTCGGTCTGCCGCTTTGGAAACCAGCGCTGTACAAAAAGTCGCGATCAGTCATCCGCAAAGCTAATTCCGCACTGCACTCCCAACCATCTTCCGATCTATATCTCTCGGTCGGGAACGTGCTCTGGACACTCATCTTTGGCTGGTGGCTGGCCCTAGTGTGCTTCATGGTTGCCATTGTACTATATCTGACGCCATTCGGAGGGAGTGCATACGGGAGAGTTGTCCTTGGACTGAGCTACTACCTGCTATGGCCCTTTGGGCAATATGTGGAACGGGAATTGTCGCCCGGAGAACTCAGGACCGACAGCCTTCGAGCCTCAGCAGTACTGGATTACAGTGGCCAGGATAATGGGGGCGATGAATCTCGACCCCTGCTCTCCAGGAGTAGTTCAGTGCTGGAGCGGGAACGTAAGGAGGAACGGCACAGACGCATGATCTCGACTATCAGGAATCTTCCCAGGCACATCTATCATCTGGGTCTGGGAGGCATCGTCTACTACATCTTTTACTATCTGCTGATCGGTAAGTTTTCATCTCCTTTAGTTTCCAGTTGGCGCGGAACGTGATATCTCTTTGTTCCTTGCGTGGATATTTCTTTTGCTAATGTATGCTTGGGATCAAACTCCGCTTCAATTGTTGTTTGTAAACTCAGGACCGCTGCATCTGTTCGTCTCCTGTTTGTGCTGGTTCATGGTCGTCTCGATCCCCATGGGCAAGTTTACCTATGTCCTGGCAACACACCTGCATCGGCACCCACTGCAACTCAACTTTAAACGCGGCAGCTCCTTGTCACTTTCGCCTCAGCGGTCAGAAATCCTGCTCTGCACTTATGACGCGATTGGATTCCAGTACTACAAATATACCTACGACGGCACCAACATTATCTTCATCAACTTGATGCCCGTTGTACTCTTTACCATTTTGGACGAGTATGTTCTGACGCACTATCTCGGGCACAACTCTATGTTGACCTCTCCGGCGGTGATCTTTTCACTGGGATTGGCGTCAGTCATTCCACTGTCGTACTTTATCGGCATGGCGGTCTCCTCAATTTCTGCTCAATCGTCTCTGGGTATGGGAGCCGTGATCAATGCGACATTCGGATCCATTATCGAAATCATTTTGTACACTGTTGCACTGACGCAGGGCAAGGGGCTGATCACGGAGGGGGCTCTTATCGGAAGTTTCTTAGCAGGACTCTTGCTGATGCCAGGCACGAGTATGATGAGTGGTGCTGTCAAGAAGAAAGAGCAAAAGTTCAATGTCAAGAGTGCAGGTAAGGCAACATGCCGAGCATCCCTCTGAATGACCTCCTGATGCGGATCACCATGCTGATCTATGGCTGTTTCCCTCTACTTAGGTGTTACTGCGACAATGCTTATCATGTCACTCATTGGAGTCTTGACGCCAACTCTGTTTTATTCAATCTATGGCCGAGTAAGTAGCTTGGCCGGCTCGTGGATGGCTCTCTTGCTGGCTTGTCAGCTTACATTACCCCTCCATTTTTTTTTTTTTTTTTTTTTTTTTGCGACCATTGTATAGTTCGAGTTGCGCTGCACGCCATGTCCTGAATCAGTGCCACTGCCCATCGAGGCTTCATGCCAACGTTGCTACCACTACCAGCCCAACCCTGCGGATGATATCTTTTTCCAAAAGAACGTCAAGCCGCTCATGTATTTTTGCTGCATTATTCTTCCCTCCGCCTACTTGATCGGTATCTGGTTTTCGCTCAGGACGCATGTGAAGCAGATCTGGCATGAGCCTCAACAACCCTCGATCCGTGACTCTTCGATTTACAGGAAACTGCTCCCGACGCACATTGTCCAGCAGTTGCTTCACTATGGATCCAGTACCCATACGGCTCCAGTGCATCGACCAGATGGAGATCCTGAGATGGGAAGTCAACTTGCTGGAGAGTATCAATCTACGTCTGTCAACGGTATGCCTGGAGAGAGACGTCCACCACACTCGGCACCGGCAACTAACGGTGCCGTTCCTACATCGGCACTTCATCCTGCTGCGCATGGCTTGCTTTCTTCGTTGTCTATGGATCAGGATTCACTCAAACATGAGCACGATGAGGAGGAAAATGAAGAACATGGAGGTCATGACTCGCCCAATTGGTCCAAGGCAAAGAGTGCAACTGTCCTTCTTAGCTGCACTGTCTTGTACGCCATCATTGCAGGTAATGGCAATGTTTCGTTGAAATGGTATCTTTGTCTGGGTTGCTTTTTTGTGCGCGACAAGCATGTCTAACCATATTTACGCTATTTTGCGTTGTGTCCGTATTCCAACAGAAATTTTGGTCGACAGTGTGGATGCGGTGTCTTCGATTGACGAAAAGCTGCTTGGATTGGTGCTATTTGCACTGGTGCCGAACGTGACGGAATTCATGAACGCGATCTCGTTCGCGATGTACGGGAACATTGCACTGTCAATGGAAATTGGATCAGCCTATGCGCTGCAGGTGTGTCTGATCCAGATCCCGGCGATGGTGGCGGTATCGGCTTGGCTGAACTATGGCAAGGTCGAGGTGTGGAAGCACACGTTCAACTTGATATTCCCGCGATGGGATGTGTTCAGCATGCTGTTTTCAGTGTTCTTGCTGACCTATACCTACATTGAGGGGAAGAGCAATTACTTTAAGGGAAGCATCTTGATACTGAGTTATTTTGTGTTGATGGCAGGGTTCTACTATGCACCGGCGTCGCCCGGCAACGGTGATGTGAGCATTATGATGAGGCCGTAAGGCTTGCTGGCTTGCTGGAGTTTGCTACAGTATCGTTTTCGGTGTGTTCTTCGAGTCTTGTACATTTTTTGAATGCTTCGAATAAAGAAATCTGCGGCCATGACAAGCATAGATAAACGTATATTCTGTATCCTCTTACTGGATAGGAGGTTCACTTGTAGGTCGCAAGTATCCAGAGCGTGTCTAGACGCGTATCAATGGTGAATAGACATCTTTTACTCCTCCTCAGGTAGCTGGTTCATGCTCAGCAAGCCTATGGTTGACGTGAGCACGACCTGATTCATGCATGCACGCAACATGATACCCTTTTGGCTTTGTTTTTTTTCTCTGCTCTCCCTGGAAGTGGTATGTGCCCTTTTTGCTCACACCTTTCCTATCCTACCCATCCTTGGGGAAATACGAGTTATCACCCGCCTTTGTCTACATAGTCTACACCATGCATTTGATAAGGGGGGGGGGGGGGGGGGAAAGGATCTATCTAGGGGACATTTGAGCATCGTAATGTTCTTGGTCTGCTTTCTGATGGGGGTGAAATCTGCCGCTTTCGCTGTATGCCGCTATCCTAGACATCATCTTACCCATGCATGGCCAATAAATATATCTGCTAGACTACGCGCCAGCAACCAAAGAAGTCTCTCGAGGCGCATGTGAACATTTGACTGACTGAATATAACAGACGCCTTTCTTTTTTAGGATAGGTTACAGTTACAATGTTATAATAAATGTTACGCCCCATGGTTTTTTGTGTTTCGTGTTCCTGCATGAACGAGAAAAAAAAAGTGGGACAATTGGGGAGAATCGTAGTACTACATAGGAAAAAAAAAAAAAGGAAGAGGCTGTTTGTGTTGTATACGATAACACTCATTCGCCTTGATGTGTAGAGACGAACGTCTCTTTCGCATGTGGTTATTGATCTGTGTGAGGGGGGGAGTAAAGCAGGAGGGGTGGAGGTTTTTTTTACATATATTGACACGCGCGTATGTGTATGTGAGTATGAGTGTGCATAGCATTGTGCAGATGCTGACGCGAGCTATACAAAACTACCGGCAGATAACGCGATTGACGTCGAAAAAAAAAAAGAATAGCGAATTGGATATACAAATAGACGCGTCGTTATTGGAAACTAAACGTAATGGGCCTGATTATTCAAGCAAAGAAACGCAAAAAATGAAGTGACAATAGAAGTTCTCTCCGAGGAGGAAACAAAGTAAGCGTGAGATACTCAAATTCCACGCGATTTGCTATCCACCGGTAGGGTTGTCAATCCAGTCCTGAAGTAATCGACTAGCTGGGTCAGTGAGTGATTCATGCGGTTGTGTGCATGGACTGCGTGCGTGTGGACAATGTCTCCTCTTCTTCTTCTTGGGGCACACGCTACGACTAGGAAAAGAATAACCGTTCCTGAATGAATCCCCCCGGAATGTCTCCAGAAGGGAAAGAGTAGTTTATTCTGCGCAAAATTTAAAATTGGGGTGCGGAAGACTAGTTTAGTCTGACCTCTGTAATTGTTAAAAAAAGGGGGGGCATTCGACCAGTCACAAAATCGCACTCAAACTGACTTTTTCCTTGCCACGTTTTACACTTTTTGCACTGACAGGACTGAGTGGAAAGATGTCCTTTTTTTTTTGCTGAGCAATTCGCGATATAAATATCCATGAACATTCCTCTCTCTCTCATTCAACCCATACAACCCATACAGCACCTGAGAAGGTCATAGGTTCATTGGTGTGTAGAACAAGATCCAAACTCATAAGGTGTATAGACTATTGCCAACAAAAGATCCTTTCCTTCCCCGGGTCTCTTCAAAAAAAAAAAAAAAAAAGAGTGCACACATCTTTTGTTCGCTTGGATTTTTTTTTTTCGAGACATGCATCCTGATGCAACTGTGCACCATCCTCCTCCTTCCCTTGCTTCCTCATGGCTCTCTTAAGAGAGAGAGAGGGAGAGTTTGGTTTGGGTCGCTTATGAAATCCTTTCTGTGGGTCTACGGAAAATATTCAGGGTCCGCCTCGCTCAAATGTATGGGAGCCAAAAAAAAAAAAATAAAAAAAAAAAGCGCGCGCTGAGTTGTCATGGGAGGAGTGGAAGACGGAGCCTTACCAGAACGGATAGATGGATGGAATCCTTGGGAGAGACGAGTCGCGATAGGGCGCACGCTTTAAATCAGTCCCGTGGTATTAGTATTGGCGCCCGAGGGGCAGGTGTAGTCTATCCTCTGTATGAGTATTTTCGAGGTGGTAAAATGGGAGTTTTGGATATGTCTCACAAAACCATTCTCTGTGTGTCGCCTCGCCTCCTTCTTGTGGTCAAAATTTTGTTTTTTGAACAGCAAGTCGCGTAATCCTCTGCGCGCTGCGCTCCACTGATGGCGGTGGCAAGTCCTTTCGCCTCTTATTCTCCTCCTATCCTCATATCCTCGGCGTTATTAAAGAACACGGAGTCTAGGGGTCTACTACTATCAAACCTGGCCGTGATCTGAGTGATTGAACGACAACAAACACATACACGTGTGTATGTTTCGTACTATTTAGGCACGCATATTGTTGTTTAGCTGTACAGTACGATGCAGCATGCGCCGATCAATGGTTGCTGTAGTCCAACGTGCTTCCTATGATGATGATCTCGGATATAAGTTTTGTTTGAAGCCTGAACCATAAAGCAAACGAAGTTACCTACGCGGCAAACAAAAGACGGAGACGTGATCATAGGGCCAAAAAAAAAAACACGTTTCAGCAAGATATACACCTAGCCTATCTAGCTACCTTTGACAACAGCTCGCCTTCTCATATAACCCCTTCCAACGCGATGTTGTTTGCTTGCATGAATTCGCAATGTCGATGTGTGTATGTGCGTGGGTGCGTGTGTATATGCACTTGTAGATGGTGTCTGTGCCCAGACGCATCCGGTCATGCAGTCCATGCAGACCTAGACTTGCATGTTACAACCCAAACAAACAAAAGGTACAGCACGCTTAGCTAGCAAAACCTGTTTATTTCCTGCATGCGAAGGTCTTCTAAGAAAAAGGCGCGCAGTTGTTGCAAAACGAAATCTAGGCGGCATGCGATAGGTAGCGGCCCCATCTTGCACACGCAATAAGGGATCTAGGCGCTGCTGATCATGGGGTTCAACGCTTGTGCTCAAACTACATATCCGCCGAACAGAGCTGATTTGTTTTCAACCCCTTCCTTTTCCCAGCTTGCCCTTTTCGTTCATATTCATCACTTGCTTGGAACCACTCGTCCTTGGATTACAGGAATACTCAGTCAGTCAAATATCCGTGAAGACTATGGACATGGTGATGAACAGGATGAGACCATGTGCTAGACCAGGATAAAAAAAGGCACGTCTATAGAGCAAGCAGGACAGCGTGGACGCGATCGGAAATCGTCAAGATGCTGTCCGCTACTACTGTTACTGGGCACCACTTCTCATTCCACATGGATATTCATCAACACGGACGTCCAATTGTTGACCCCAGCGGCAGTTTGCTTACTTACGGAAGGAAAATAAAAAAGGCTCGCTGATTCTGGACAGGACCAAAGTTGTACTGTAACAGGAGGTGCGGCACAGGGCTGTGTGCATGGCATCGTCCGACCTATGGCGATCATTTTTCAATTATCGCAAGCAGCGTTTACAAATACGTGGATGGTCCATCCGTCGGGATCTTTTGTATTCATATACAAAATGTGTCCGCTTGGCTTCCCGTTAGATATTCACCATCCCATGGTCCATGGGTCCATGGCCTTTTACACAACGCTGCATGTCTCTTCCCCCCCCCATAGGTTTCATCAGCCATATGTGGTATAACGAGACATACATTTTTCATCTATTGCATGCTCACCTATCCCTCGCTTCCTTCCTTGAGACAGGGTTCGATGCAAGCGAGGTCTCTTCCCACACTTTTCTCCTCTGGCGCACAAAATTTCCTGCGAGAATCTTTGAAGAAATATGGAAATATGGAACATTGGAGATGAGATACATGCAGAAATGAAGGAATATGGCACAATTGAAGTAAAGAGAGGAACACAGGAGGAGCCTTCCGGGAGGGGAAACACATTTATGGGTAGCCTTGGCGTACATTTTTGTGGCATCTGGCTTTGGTCACGACCATAAAGATCGTACCCGTCTCCGAGACTCTTTCATTTTGAGATTGCGCCATGTCTTGCTCCACCCCAATGTTGAGCCGAATAAATCATGTTTGTCACCTACACAATTGTCGATTAAAAGCGCTACCGATGCTGGACCATCTTTTTTTGCTGGACACCGCCATCTACATGCACTGGCAGTTTTTACTGCCAAATGTCCGTAAGCATAGCAATTGGAGAGTGTGCGACAGTACGTTTCGCCATTGTCTGTGTTCATGAGCAAAGAGGATTTTTTTTTTTGCTCCATGGTCCCGTCTGGACACAGTGATGGACCGCACTAAGCACCAAGGGGTAGATAGGGTTTCTGTCAAACCAGAAAAAATAAAATAAAAATGGTTCGCTCTCAATCAAGTAGAAAACCCTATTCTTTTTACTTTGCCAATAAGATCTAATTGAGAAATGAATCCAATTGAACACACCAAACCATCCATGGCCCACCTAGACTAGCCCATGGGACTTTTTAAAGGAGAGGATGGTCATGCTTCTTCTCACTGTAAATGGTCCCATCAAGGACCTGTTGAGGATGGTCTCGAAGGCGAAGGCTAAGGGTTAGCGTTGTCCTCGATGCATTGCAGTAGGAGGTAGAGGATCGAAAAAAGAAAAGCGCACACATGTATGTTCCTCCCTCATAGTCTACCAACAGAAAACCACCCGCGCGAGCGAGAGAGAGGAGGAGGGAGAGGAAGAGAGAGGGGAGAGGGAGAGGAAAGGATGGTTTGTGTGACCAATGGGACGTGTTTTTGTATCTCAGCTTTCGTTCCTGCTTACCACACGCTCGCATTCACACACACACCACAAACGGGAAACAAAGCACGCACCAAGCAAACAAACGACTGAGGTGCTTCAGACCTTATTTCGCTGGGCGGCCCATCTGGGTGGCATCGCACCAATCCACAGGCCTCTCATTCTAGTGCTCCGTGTTTTCGTTTTAAAGAGGTCAGGCAACACTGGAATGGTTCCGCGGCGAATGCATCGGACGCATTCTCCCAGTGTCACCATGGCGCACATCTTGTTTCTTTAGATTGTAAGCATTGGATTGAATAGAAGGATAGAAACCCTGTGAATAGAATAGGATATCCTATTCAATCCAATAATCCTTCTGCCTTTCCAGCCCATCTAGGTTTTCTGGCTTGTTTGCAAGGTGCTTCTCGTGTGGTTGCACGCTTTTTATCCCTTCGATTTCTCTTTTTCCTCTCTTCTTTCTCCCCTGTTCACCCCACCTTGTCTTGACATCGTGCCTGAATTCCGTACTTTCCCCCCAACCGACCTTCTCTCATTCCTCATCAGTCAGAGCGCGAAAGACTCGTCAGGAACGAACTCACACCATATCTCATCCAAACCCGTCACTAACTTTCAATCAATCAACCAACCACTTCTCTCACCAACATCCTCTCAGGAACTTGGATAGAAACCCATCTAGGAAAACCAAAAAAAGACAAATACGTTTACTAACCGCTACTAACGAATAACAAAAAACCTCAAAAGAAACATAGGAATAGGAAAAAGACCATTTGTCGTGTCCTTTATTCTGCTTCCTTTTGTATTTATTGTACATAAAACAGGGCCCCAGGAAACGAAACCGAAAAAAATCCATCAATCCATCAAGAAAGAACCTTTCCATTCTCTTTCTATTTTTCTCTATATCATCAAAAAAAAGTCAAGTTTTTTTTATTCTTTTTTGAAATCTCCACATTTCTTTTCACCATGTCTTCTTCTACGCGATCCAGCCGGGTTTTGTCCTTCCCCACTGGAACTTTTTACATTCAATCGGGCATTGCAGGTCTTGTTCTCGATATCGAGACAGGATTCCTCAAGGACCCACTGAAGGCTGGTGCGCGCGTCGAGCTGACACACAAAAAGTCGTCCAAGAACAGCACTGATTCCTTCGCTCAATTCGAGCAGCAGCTCTGGAGAGCTGAGGAGGGATATATCGTCAATGTCCGAACTGGTCACGTCTTGGATATCCAGGCAGGCAAGTATTCTTTCTAGTTGGAACAAAAAAAAAAAGGACTTTTTGGGATACAATTTTTCAAGGGGGTAAGGGTCAAACGGAGAGCAAATGAACGAACGAGAAATCGGGTTCCAAAGGAGGAGGCGAATACTATCACTTGCCAAAAAAATAAGGAAAAGAAAAACTCAATTGGGGACATTTCTATGGCCTCGCATGTGTTCTGCTTGCTTCTTCTTGAAGGAAGAACAAGGTCAAGAGTAACGAAAATTATGTTCCCAATGGCCGTGGGAGTTGTTTCATGCGAAGGAAAAAAAAAACAAACGAACGAACGAACTGGCCACCTTCCAAAAAGAGAGAGACAACGGAAAGATGCATGAAGGATTTCACGATCTAATTCCAGGGGATACTGTTATCCCCATTGCACGGGGATTGCATGGCCATTCGTACAAACCAAACGGTTGCTAACCTGCATCGCATTTATGCGCTCCATTGGTACCTCACTTCACCAGGTGTTATCCGTGCCGGTTCTCGAGTTATCCAAAATGTCCGCAAGACTGGCAAGGTAAAGTGGAGACCATGGTATCACAAGGTTGAACCAAAGGGGTTTGTCGAACCCAGTTGAGTTGTGCTAAATATATTTTCAATGCTCTTGCTTGGTACCACTAATAGGACGCCGCTGGTCAGCAGTGGCTGAACGACGACGGTGTTCTGACTCTTGCCAGCAACCCGAAGTTCGTCATTGCAATCGATGGCGATGCCACTCGCGACGGAACCCGCATCACTATCCAAGAAAAGAAGGCATATAACGAGAAGCAGAAATGTACGTTCTCATGTCTTCCTATGGTTCTTGGAAAGAAGAAAAAAAAAGAAAAAGAAAAAAAGTGCTGCTCTTTGGGCTGACCAAATCTTCCTCGGAGTATTGTACCATATCGATATTGACAAACTGCAATGATATACCCTTGCTTTCCATGATACCACAGGGCACTATCCCACCGGAGGTGACAGCCGCCAGGTCTCGCCCTCGCCCTCAAGGGCAGAGTCCATTTCTATTCGCCCCGACAACTTCCCCCAAAGCTGGTTCTATATCAAATCAGCTGCCTCAGGTCTAGTCGTCGATATCGAGCACGGTTATTTCACAGATCCAATGAAGGCCGGTGCCCGTGCTGAGATGAACCACCAGAAGATCGACAATGGCGATGGCCGCCATACCCTCCTGGAGCTCCAGCTCTGGCGCTATGAGGCTGGTTTCCTAATCAATCGCCGCACTGGCTTTGTCCTCGATATCCAGGGTGGTATGTTATTCACGATCAATAGTTTTACCATGGCTAAGATGGAAGTGAGAGGAAACTAACAATCTGTTCGGTATTGGCATGATAGGCACCCTTAAACTCGCTGCAAGAGTGATCCAGTGGCAGCGCAAGACTGGCAAGGCAAGTTGTATTTTACTGTATTTTT